AATGATCTTAAATCCTGGCAGTTTCAATTCATAAAAGAACATTAAAGGAAGGCAGAAAGCAAAATTTTTAAATTGTTACTGGAAATGAGGAATATGACCCAATTTAGAGACTGATAAGATAGATGTTTTGGTAAGGATAATGTTTTTTTACATAACCTGCTGATGAATATATATCTAGCTATTGTCATTATATTGTGACTCTTAAAGAAATACAGACACATTATACATATGAATGTGTCCATGATACTTTAAAGATTAAAATTGTGTAATGGCCTTTCATATTCGAAATCTAAATATGCTTTTCTATGATATACTAGTATGAGACATGAATACATCCAAATCTGGAAGAAAAACTTTGAAAGATATCATCCTGCAGATGTTCCTCTGTTAGCATTGTCACGGAGGCATGGGACTGCTGACTGCAAGGTCTACATTTCAATCCCAGTAGCCCTCCATGGGAGAAGGTTGAAACTATCTTTTCCATAAGGGTTTACTACAGCAACAATCCTAAACAGGTTTGTTATGAATCATAATTCATTCCATGGAATTGTTTTTGTTTTTAAATAGTTGTCCCTCAGAGTTTCTGCCATATGAACAAGTCCGTGGACATCAGAGGTGGAAGCAAGTACTAGAAGATACTTTAGGTGCCTTGCCCCCCAAAATGGAACTAAATGTACATCCTCCTTTAATGCTACAACCCTCCTCTTTAAAAAAAATTATTATAAATCTATAAAGGTTCATAGAGAAGATCAGTTTTGCATTCAACAATTCATTTTTCTTGTTTCATATCATTGATTGCAATCCGGAGATTATAGTGTCACAAAACACAAACAAAAATTCTCACAACTGGTCCAGGGCAACCATCGCACTTAACCAGTGGAAACATGTCTTCTGATTTCTCTGTTGAAATGCTTAATAAGTCAAGGTAGGACAGTAAGTTTGATCTCTGGGGGTTTAATGTATGGAATTATATCTTCATGTGCAATAACCATTTGAAGACTATTAGTTAAAATACTCCTAGGACAAAGTGACCATTTTTCAAACAACAGTTCTGTTCTGGTATATTCTCTATTTCTAAAGTCTTACAATAACAGGTGGCTCTGATTATTTTTTCAGCATATTTTTGTCTAAGACTCTCTTAAGTATTAGCACCATAAGATTCTTGAAAATGACTATTTCAAATAGACAAATATTCAAATATTTTGCAATCATCTAAAACTACTGAGAAAATATCATTATGCCAACTTATAAATAAGGAAACTGAGTGTGGTTGACACTAATGCTGACACATAGGGATAGTTGACCAGTGGAAAGTCTCACTAATTAGTGAATTGGTAAAGATTAAGACATTCACTCCAAGAAAAGTATCCTACCAAAAAGTTTTCTCAAGCTTACCTTTATGTCTCTGTTCCTCAGGCTGTAGATAAAAGGATTCATCATTTGAGGGACAACAATGTACATCACTGAGGCTACTGCTGTCCTTATGGAAGACTGTGTAAAGACAGAACTGATGTACACACCAACGCTTGTCCCATAGAATAAAGAAACTACTGAGAGATGGGACCCACAAGTGGAGAAAGCTTTGTACTTTCCATCAGCTGAAGGAATGCTCAAAACAGAAGAGACAATCTTAGTGTAAGAGAATATGATTCCACACAGTGGAACACCAAAAAACATGCAAGCTGAAAAATATATCAGGATGTTATTAATGAGGGTACTGGAACAGGCGAGGTTGAGGACCTGAGCAAGCTCACAGAAGAACTGAGGGATTTCTAAGTCTGTGCAGAAGGACAGACGCAAAACCATCAGACTGTGGAGTAGGGCAACCATGACACTTAAGACCCAAGAAAGCAGAATCAGCAGGCTGCAGAAGCAGGGATTCATGATGACTGTGTACCTCAGTGGATAACAAATGGCCACATAGCGGTCATAGGCCATTGCTCCTAGAAGAAAATTTTCAAAAGAACAAAAAACCAGAACAAAGAAAATCTGGCAAAGGCAACCAGTAAAAGTAATGCTCTCATTGTGTGTCTGGATGTTCATCAACATTTGGGGGATGGTAGTTGTGCTTAAATAGATATCATTCAAGGACAGATTGGAGAGGAAGAAGTACATAGGGGTTTGCAGGTGAGAGTCACAGGTGACAGCCAAGACAATGAGCAGGTTTCCAAGGACAGTCACCAGGTACATGATCAAGAACAGCCTAAAGATGAGAGGCTGCAGCTCTGGATCCTCTGTTAGTCCCAGCAGAAGGAATTTTGAAACACCTGTTTGGTTTCTAGGTTCTAGATAGTTGATGAATCTGCTGAAAAGATTAGGTGTAATAAAATTAAATGTTTTAAGAATGGTGAGGGCAAAGAATGTACAAATAGGCTTTATACAATTGATGTATGTATGGATTGTGATAACAGTTGTATTAGGCCCTAATCAAATGATTTTTTAAAATGTGTGGATCCTGGAACTCAGCATCGACTGAACCATTGGAGGCAGACCTTATGTTATATCATTATTATATTCTGAGGTTTATGTTTATTTTAAATATTTAGTAATTCTAGAAATAGCCAGGCTTGGTAGGCAGCCTGATGACTCAATCTAAGACTCCATGTCTTCTGTAGGGATCAAAGCCATTGAATAAAAATAATACAAACATACACTAAGAACCAAGAAGATAAGATAATTTGGGCAAATCCTTCTCTACCTTCACTGCCACAGAATCCAACTAAATGTCAAATAGTATTTTCAAACACTCATCATGTTTGAGGAGGCTTAGCTTGATGCTAAAAAGTAAAATAACTTTTGAGATTTGGGATATTGTGCAAGAGACTAGCAGAATGAATTTCATATTCATGTAAAGATACAGGTTACATGTTAAGAAAATGACAGAGAAATAAGTTACTCCTGAGAATCTAGGTTCCAGTCTTTGCCTGCCTATACTCTCTTCACATAAATCATTCTCTTGGATCTACCTGTTGCAAAACACTTGGCCTTTTTTTCCAAGCATTAACTAGGGAACTTTAGGTTACCTGGCTGGCATCTGTGAGGAATGACGTTTTGTCTTTGCTCTGAATGTAGAAAAGAAATGTTTGTCCTCAGGAAAGACGCAGCTTCTATGAGTAATATTACACCCAGGGGCAAGAAGGAACATATTTGGGAATATCATCATGTATTCTACTTCCTTATTGAGAAAGAACCCTTTAAATGAGATGCCCCAGGAAGATTATTAGCACTTTATATCCCTGGAGGTTCAATAATCAAAGCTCTTCATTAGGCTAACACATTTATTGTTAGTGTCATCCCAGGGCAGGCAACATTGTTGATTCTCTAGTCCTGTGAGACCAACTGCATGCATCTATATCACAGCTCCTTTAGAATGAGCCCATCATTCTTTCTCAGTGGGATTCCAGTCTCTTCTTTATAGGTACAACCAAATGCATCCTTGAATAATATTTTTCAGGAAACCCAAACTCAATATGACGTAAAGAAGTATATATTCACTGTTTGAATATTTATAAATTATGTTTATAAATGCTCATAGAGCTGTATTAAGAATTTCAACTCTGTGATATTCCTCCTAAAATCCATCGACTCCTTCCTGAACCTAAAGCAATATTCAGAATAAAGTACATTATAATCTATTCCATGACCAATTCTGATTTTAGTTGATATAGACAGATTTTTCTTTTACTCTTTTAAATTTTATAGCTGCATTTTCTAATGTAATCACTTTAGACTACAATCCATTTTCATTTATATTGGGGCAGTGGTTTCCAATTATATTTAATTTTTCTTTTTAACTTAAGTTTTTATTGGCAACTTGACAAAAGTATGCTGAGTA